TTCAACGTATACATATTGTTAAAAGTTATTTTGTAGGTTGTTAACAATACTTTCAACTTCCTATTTAAGATTTTTGTATTACAGGCCTGAAGAGTCAAGCCCTATCAGAGGGCAAAAAATCTGATAAAAATTGGAAACTTAAAAAAATCATAAATCAAAAACGGAAACCAATATCCACTTGAAATTTTTAAGAAAAATTAAGCTCTTTTAGAGGACAAATCCTATTGATTTAAAAAAAAAATGTTTATATTGGGGATTTAAGGGGGATTGAAACATTAAAAAAAATTTAAAAAACGAAAAACAATACCTATAAACTTGAAATTTTCAGAAAAAATCAAGATCTATAAAAAGACGAAGCCTACTTATTTCAAAAAAAAAATCTGAATTAAAATGGGGGTTAAAAGTAGTTGAAATAAAAAAATCGTAAATCAAAATTGAAAAATAAAATACCATATCAAATTGAAATTTTTAGGAAAAATCAAGTTCTATAAGAGGGCGAAGCCTTTTGATTTTGAAAAAATCTGAATAAAAATCTGATGTGTCCAACACATGTTTTTCCTATCTAGTTATTACAGGCTTTTTCCTGTTATTTTGTACAACCTATTGCAGCACCTTTATAATGTTTAGAGGATAAACTAAATATATACATTTTCCACATACATCTACCTCGAAACATTTTTCTATAGAAATTCATTGAAAACGAAAATACTGAAAAATTTTAATTTAGCACTTTTCCTACAATTTTTCCATTACGGTCCATTTTAGAAAAATCATGTATAAACAAAAATTATAGAGATCGATATCGCAAACAACTTTTAGTTCAACAATTTTCATAAAAATCAGAATTTTGCACATTTTGTCAAATTTCTTGAAAACGGACCATTTCAGAAAATTTTTACATAAAACAAAAATTATAGATAATAATATTAGAAGTAACTTTTATTTGAACAATTTTTTTCTCCAAACCTAAATAACAGATATATTCCATAAAATATAAAAACGACCTCCCATAAAGTACCCCCCAGATATTCCGACTTTGTCCAAAATCTAATCGTTTTACATCAGGCCGAAATAAAACTTAAGTTTAAAATTTAATGTTTTTTTCTTTATCCGTTTTTGAGTTTTCTTCAAATTTCGAAATTTACACATTTTCTTAAATATCTCGAATACCGTCCATTTTAGATTATGTATAGAATAAAAATTATAGAGAATTATATTACAAACAACTTTTGTTTGAACAGTTTTTATAAAAAAATGTTTTTTACATTTTGTCAAATTTCTCGAATACGGACCATTTTAGGAAAATTTTGTATAGAACAAAAATTATAGATAATAATATAAGAAGTAACTTTTACCCATAAAGTACCTCCCCAGATGTTCCGACTCTGCCCAAAATCTAATCAGCTCATTAGACGCTGGAACAAAGCTTATGTTTAAAATTTGGTGTTTTTATGTGTATCGGTTCATGAGTTATGCGACACACACACACACACACACACACACGCACACACGCACACACACACACACACACACACACACACACACACACACACACACACACACACACACACACACACACACACACACACACACACACACACACACACACACACACACACACACACACACACACACACACACACACACACACACACACACACACACACACACACACACACACACACACACACACACACACACACACACACACACACACACACACACACACACACACACACACACACACACACACACACACACACACACACACACACACACACACACACACACACACACACACACACACACACACACACACACACACACACACACACACACACACACACACACACACACACACACACACACACACACACACACACACACACACACACACACACACACACACACACACACACACACACACACACACACACACACACACACACACACACACACACACACACACACACACACACACACACACACACACACACACACACACACACACACACACACACACACACACACACACACACACACACACACACACACACACACACACACACACACACACACACACACACACACACACACACACACACACACACACACACACACACACACACACACACACACACACACACACACACACACACACACACACACACACACACACACACACACACACACACACACACACACACACACACACACACACACACACACACACACACACACACACACACACACACACCATCGCGAAAATAGTCAAAACGGATTCAGGGGACCTCAAAACGTAAAAATCCGTCGAAAACTCGAGGTCGAAAAAAATCACGATTCCTATACTTTCCTTATATCTGTATACAGATAGGAAAGTAAAAAGAAAAATATTGTAACGGTCAGTTAAAGGATATTTCGAAATTAATTTATTTAAATTTTTTAATCTTGGAAGCCAAATTGATGCAAATAACGATACTTGTATATAGTAAAATTATATTTACGTAGCTATTATGATGCTAATACTTCGTTTGGCTCTAAGTTTATTTCATAGACGCAAAGAAATATTAAAACATTTTTTGACAGCGTTGCCACATTCCGGATGCCAGTAGATGAATGAAAGAAACATTTCTATCAGGTATATTCATAACAATTTGGAGTCCACTGATCCTTGAAATAATCTAATATAACTCAACATTTAATAGATAGAATAAGACGGATGATAAAGGAATAGGTCAATTACAGATCGCACGGATTAGACCGAAAGACAAAAAGTACGGACGCCACTTTGCAAAGAGATGCTAGAATGTTGGGAATTTAATAATAGTCGGATGCCAAAACGATAGTATGATATATATTAGGTAATTATAAAACAGTTAGATTACATGACCACAGTGGAGAGTGAAAGATGTTTTTTGACACTAAAACGTAATAAAACTTTTTTAAGGAACACTATGTGCCAAGATAGATTGTGCGCGTTAGCCATGTTATCCATCGAAAAAAAACTTATTCGGTCCATTCCAAATTTTAATAATCTAGTCATCGATTACTTCGCCAGCCAAAAATCCAGAAGAATGGACTTCAACTATAAGAAATAGTATACAACTGCAGCGGTACCTAGCAGTTAGTCTACAATTTTGTAATATTTAATTTGTTTTGAAATATATTTAATTTTCATTAAGCGGAGAACTTGTTTTCCTAAGGGAAAAACGAATCCCGGGATTCCTTTCCAGTATGTGCCCCACTGCCGCTAGTGCCCACGAGCCGCCACTGCTTCTAAACGATTTCGAGCCATGACAGCAGTAGTATTTCTTTCTCGCGAAACATTTAGGTTATGGTCCGTTATTAACCGAAATATCGGTTACTCGGTCCAAAACTAACCGCTCTGCTTGACATTCCTGAAAAATCGGTTAAATTAGGGACGCGGTTACCTGAAAATGATGACTCAAATGTCAATTCACTAACCGGTACATTTTTGCGGTTTCCATTAAGTCGAATGTCAATCTGTCACATAAGTGACGTAAATCTCGGCCGTGGTCCAAAAGTAACCAAGAAATTAGTGTTTTTCAGGAACCGCTGTCAAAAAATCCTGGTTACTAGCGGTTAGTAGTCGGTTAATAACGGACCATACCCTTAATGTTACAAAACGATCAGCTCGAACATTTGTAGAACGTCGTCTGCCAGATCCTCTTCGTCTCGAACAACTATCAGTTTCATTGAAACGTTGTACAGCTCTCTGGACGCTACACCTTGTATTCTAGAAGCATAATACTGAGACCTACCGTCTTGTACCAGAGCAACTGCTCGTGCTGCATCAGTAGGCGTTAAAGCCATGATGTTATGCTGATAATGAATATTTATTATGCTGATAATTAAACTGCAATTGCCAAGTAAAGAATATTTGACAGTTGTCATATTGTGAGTTGGCCACAGCACTCTACTTATTTTGTAGTTTATTCTCTATCGTCTTTTAAATTATGACCGTTTCTAAAATGTAGTATTTTCTTTAAACCGTCACATTTCACAAACAAATTAAGATATCGAGGTAAATAAAACAACAAAGTGTTGGAAACAAATCAGTTTTCTTGATAAAGTTAATTGTGTGCAGATCTACTAGCAGAATTAACCTACAGGGTGTGTCAAAAGTAGAGGAAAAAATTGTTTTCTCTTCTCTTCTGTATATGCGGCGAGTACTAAATAACTTTTAAATGTCCGAATAATAATCTTAAAACTACAGTATTTTATCTAAAAGTTGCTAAAAAATTCAAATAAATCAGCCTCCGCATTTGAAAGTTAGAGCATTTTTAATTAAATCATTATTTTGAATGGATCGAATTTTAAGTCGGTGAGTATATGTATTAAACGTGTGTATGCAATAGAAATTCAGTCTAGCTCGTAAGTTGGAAAATAGAAATTTAAAAAATCTGGGAAATTTTCAATTTTAACGTTATCGTACAAATACGATAATTTTCGTACGTCTGGCAATGCTGCTCTCATCATTCAAATGATTCCGGCCAAATAGTGAGAGTACTTGTTTACTCTCCTACTCGTATAGTTACAAGAATACGACCCTAGATAAAATTTTGAATTATTGTGTCGTTACAAATTATCTAAGTATTTGCAGACTTTTGTTTAGAAGCAAATTTCTGCAATACCGTTTATTTTATTTCAATAAAAAGTTCTTAATTTTTTAACTAAAAATCAACAGAGATTTTAAAAAAGAATAATTAAAAAATAAAAATTTTGTTCCAGTTGTGAAGAAAATAGAGGGAAAAATACCACTATTCTTGATAGCACGCCACTGGTTAAATTTTTCAAAAGTTAGTTTGTGTCAAAATATTCTTTATTAAGAGCATATTGGTCACCAAATTTGAAAATAATATTTAGGTAATGGCGTTTTTTATTAACGAGAGCTCTCTTGAATTATTAGAAAGAACATTATAAAAATAAGCATGATTTTTTCGTTCGTCTGGCAACAGAGTTTCTATTTTTGCGTTGCCAGTGGATGCACGTGATTTCGTATTTACTTTTCTCTGGCTCTGACGTAGTTTAAAAAACGGGATTTAAACAAAACACTGAAAATGAATTAATGGCTTACATGAACAACAATCAATTCACGAGTGGTAAAAGTTATTTAAATGATAATAATAATTGGTAAGTTTAATTTACAATTGATACAATATATTAATTTTTTTATTCACTTACGTTTGCTTACTGATTTAATTAAGTTGTTTTTGAAGTGTGTTACTAGTAGAATGATATAAATGCAGGATATCCACATTAGTAAGGCATTATTTCTTTATTATAAAAATCTCAAATGTCATCGATCAATTTTACAGAAAATGTATATACAATGTGTGGCAATTATTTGTTAGTAATATTATTTAAATAAAATAAATAACATGGTTTGGTTTATTAAAAATAAAACATTTTAAGATTCACAAATGCTTGAAAATCTAAGATCACACTAAAATTTTTCAAGCTTTTTAAACTTAACAATAACAAATCAAACTAAATGGCTATTAAATAAATTACCTTACCTGTGTCCGTATGTTTCTAACAGAAAATTTAAACATTTAAAAACTGCTTAAAACATCCTAATTTAACAATAATAGTAATTTGTGCAACAAGAGTGGATATGATAGACATATGCTAAGTAGGTTCTCAATCGTCTGAGTGCTATACGAATAAAATTCTACAGTATATTTTTTCTACGAGCCATTAAAGAAAAACTACATTTTAAAAATTTATTTAGGGGTTACTCAACAAACAAGTTGTTAAAAGTCGTTGGCCCTTTTAACGAATGCGATGGTAAAGTAATTTGTAACGGAAAATCGTTATGGCTCTTTTGAAATTTGCAATTAATGTCCTTTAACTTTAATTTAATCTGTAAATTCGAAAACCGTACAAGTCCAAAATTTGACATTTTAAAGTAAGATAGCTATTTTGTTTAAAATGCTTAGATAAAAGAGACCGAAGATGTAACATTGCACACTGCGCATGTTGTCTATTTTAACCCAAAGTAACCCACCAATTGAAAATTATTGTTTGCACGACGCCACCCGAAATGCTCCGATTTTCCATTCAACGCTCACCTCCGCCTGAGTTCAATCACCATTGACAGCTGTTTTTTGATTTGTTTGTTGGTGTTTTAGCAATTTAAAGTGTGCTAGTTATTCAATTTCAAGTTCAAAATGCCACGATGTATCTTGAAAAATTGTATATATTTATAATACAAGTACCAATGTTATGAAAGATAAAAAATATATTCGTTATTTGCCGTAAATATATATTTATTAATGTTTTGACATAAGAAGTAAATGAACATTGTTGCTAATGAAATTTTGTATTTAAAAAGTAGTTTTATAAGAATGTGTACTAAAGGTGGTTTTTAGCCCTTTTAAAAAATCAATTTATTGTTTAATCGGTTTTTTAATTATTTGATTCTTTTTGATTTTTCAAAGATATTATATGAAAATAATCGATTGATCGAATATAATCGGTTATTTTATATAACCGATATTTCGGTTATTTTTTTTAAATTATCGATTTATCGGTTAATCAGCTTTTTAATAATCGATTATTTTCGATATTATTTCCAATAATCGAATAATAAATATGAGGAAAAAAGGATTATTAGAAAATAATCGGTTTTTTTTTGGAAAATCGATTTATCGTAGAATCGGCTTCCTAATTAATTGGTTATTTTCGATTACGCGATTATTTTGGAATAATCGATTATTTTCGATATTTCAAAAATAATCGAATTATCAATTTTAAAGGAAATACAATAAAAATAGATTATTGATAATATTCGATTCATCGAAAATAATCAATTATTTAAAATGATCGATAATTCTGTCTTTTTTGAAAATCGATTTATCAGTTAATCGGCTTTTTATTTAATCGATTATTTTTGATTAATTGATTATCTTAGATTTTTTTAAAGATTATCGAGTAATCTGTTTCAATGCTCAGTTTATTTTCCGCAACTCTTTAAATTTACTATTCTTATATTTATATTTTTTTTTGTGGAAAATAAATTATTATTATTATAATGGACGAAAAAAAATAGATTATTTAAAAATAATCGATTATTTAAAATAAACTGTTCAGTTCCCGCTTCAGCGTCATTGGTCATCTCTAAGACATTTAATTTTCCCATTTTGACTAATTTTTAATATTATGTAATAGCCGTAGAAAAAATATAATGTTCAATTCACAAGGTTTGATTTGCAGTATTCGCCTGCGCACATGCTTTTTTTATAATACTCGTAGACAATGAGTACCATTTCTTGTTCTATTAACAATATTTTATGTCAACATTTTACTGTAATCTCTTGCAGAAAAGTCCGTAGTAAATGAACGCTAACTAAATATTCTATAAAAGGTCTTCTCTTTACATAAAATGTCGTGGCATCTGTTTGATATTATAAAATCACGTTAATTTTATTTCATAATACAAAATTCCAATAAATAAATCTACTAGTTCATTATGATGCTAATAAACAAAGTCCGGTCCCTGTCACAGAGTTTAGGTCACCTTTCTTTAGAAATTGACAACAGTTGAGCAGGTTAAACACCAGTGTATGTTATATCTCTGGTCTCTTTTATCTAAGTTAAAATGTCTCTTCATCACATACTTTGATTACTATATGGTGCAAGAGAGAGGTCCGACACGCCCAACATAGGGCGCGGCCATTTTGATTCCTGATGTTATTTTGGAACTTTCAACTGGTCCGAGTGAGCTAACTGATTCCATAGCAATAAACTGTGACTCCAAAAATAATATTCAGTGACACTAACAGCAGTAAGCAAAATATCAGGTGCGTTTTAATCATACACTTCTGCTTCCGGAACTGTCGGTTTAATCGTTTTAACCTGTCAGATTCAAACAAGAAAACCGACAATTCCGAAGCAGAAGCGGATGATTAAAACGCACCTATTAAAAATATTGCGCCAAGATGTAGGCAACACGTAATAAGGGATCAAACTGGCGGAGTTTTCTATCTCCTTTTAAAAGGCACTCAGAAAGCTGCGCAGTGCGACCATTCTCCGTATAGTAAATGAAAATCAAAGTATGTGCTTTCATATGAGATGTCACACTTTGATTACGTAACACTTTTTACCTCAAGAGGGAGCTAAACTTGATGAGTTGGCACTGAACTCCCCCCAGTGGAACGCTACATGATCCTACCGATCTAATAAAAAATGGTACAGCTCAGCGATGTTTAGTGGCAATACAACGCATACGAATATTTATATGCAAATGTCTGAATTTTTTTAATAACGTCCACTTTTAGAATCAGATGTTACAATTCAATTTTTTTTTAGGGAAAACATAAACTTGATCTCCACTCCAGAAACAATAAGAATACTGTTGTTCAAAGAATGTAGACTTAGAGACAGACAACTAATTTTTGACTCCCAATCGAGCCAAAATGTGGAAAATAAGGCGAAAGATGAAAGAAAAACCGCAGAAGAATTTTCTCTCTTAACAGAAATGATTTTCGGCTCGACGGCTATGAAGTACCATGACACGTATTACAAAATACATGGTGTATCAACTCCAGATAGATTAATTTTTACACAAGTAAGAAAACTTAAAAAAACTATTTAACTTTATTTTTCTATGATGATTCATAGAGATACCTTTTCAGCAGTTGCTCCAGCAGTAATCGGGTCAATAAATTTAGTCAAAACAATATGGGTTTTGCTATTAAAATCGACTCCACCATTTACCAAACCTGTACCGTCTTTACCACATGATTCCGTGTTGATTTTGACATTTTAGATAATTATTATTATTTTAGTTCTTCCTTATTTTCCTTGTCCTCCATTCCTCCTCTTCTTATCTCTTCCATGATTCATCCTTTTCTCACTTTTTACCGCTTTTCATCAAGCTTGACTGCTTTGCTGTTCCTGTTCTTAATATACGTAATGCAAACTATTTAGGTTTTCAGGTTTTTTCCACTCCAAATACGAATAAGTATCAAGAAAATTATGGATCGTTCTTTTCGAAAAGTAATATCAATTTTCAAAAATGTTCCAGCTTACTTGAGTATGATTTAACCTCCAATTATTTATCTCAATCATCGATGGACTCATCACCTGACTGTTTTTCAAGTAAGTCTTTAAAGTATGATTGTGATTATAGACAACGACACACAACTCATAGTATACAACTTATAGTATCAAAAAGAAGGTATATTACGCCGATTGATACTACGTCACGGTGACGTATTGTGGTGTGAATGCGTGGATTTTACGAATCTGAGGTATTAGCTGATCAAAAACAGCGTGCGAAAATAAATTTTAATCTGTTTATGGCCAATCAGATATACTCCACATCGCAATACGTCATGCGCGAACTCGACGAGATTTCGTTGGCTAAGTATCATACCTCTGTAATATTTTTATATCATCCCCACAACTACCAGATTAATTTTGTTTACTACAAAAATCGAATTACAAACATTCACGGTGTCAAATTATTATGAGAGAGTACGGGAGAGTCTTGTTACAAAAATTGTTTAGGTTATAATTCGGTATTGACTAAACATAAGGTTCTAGAGCTCACAAAAGGCTTTCAAAATTACATTAGGGACGTATATTGGCATTCTAATTGCCAGTTACTATCAGTTTAATGTATTTTTCTCGTTGCAACTAATATAGTATAGTGTGACAGCTGTGTAAAGCAAGCGCAGTAGACGTAAATAAGACGCATGCTCGCTCCTCAGATAAACACTCGCACAACCCATTAGCAGCGGCAACCGATGCGACACCTCTGTCTGCGTAATAATAAACACAAACTAAATGTTTGCCATAAATAAGGGATTAATTTATTATGAATGAATAGATTAGTCTAGTAGTTTTTCGTCGTTGATTGTAGACCTTTTATCTTTATCTTTGTCGGTTATAAGCAGGTAGAGTTAGGTTTGGCCCAGAACACTGCGGTCTCTTGGGTCTATTGTATTCCCCTGCTTTCCTCCTTTTCAGGTACTATCTTTAGAATAGTCCTGTATCTTTGGTTAGTTTTAATAAGTTCCCTATCAAGTGTTCCTGGGGCGTTCTTTCCGGTTCTACGTTGTCGATTTCCATGAGAATATGCCGATGATCTGAAAGCGAAGGCTCTCTAGACACGTATCACTTGCCAAAATGATTTAAAACGAAGGAAGAACAAAGGGTAATATCAATAACCTCACTCCGTCTACTGGTTACAAAAGTAGGTTCATTTCCACGATTCAATATTTCCAGGTTAGTGGTTAGAATGAATTCAAGTGAAGACTCACCTTTTTTGTTGTTGTCCTTGCTGCCCCATGTTATATGGTGTGAATTTGTGTCAGCAGTAATGAGAACATGCAGGATTCCGTTCCAAAAGGTATTTACTAGATTCCTCAGCTCATCTGTTTGTCGAGGGATGGGCGAGCCATAGGGTAGGTTAAAATGAGTGACCTCTTGTTGCCTGCTATGTTTTTTTTCTATCCTGAGTGCTACTGGGTCTCCAAAATAGAAATCTTGTAAGTTGAGGATATCTAGACCATTATGTGTGTATATACACGCCCTAGTGTTTCCACATTGGGTACTGTATATTAACACTTACCTTTGGTTTGTCCGAGCCCCATCACATGCCCTTTGTAGATCCAGGGTTCTTGTATTAAGGCTACGTCTATGTCCTCGCAAATAATAGTACGTGCAAGGGTTGCCTCAGATTAGCTTGCACTATTCTGAGCATCTGAAGGTTGTTCCTTCCTCTCCCTTTGCACTCTGAAGATTGCCAGATAGGATTTTAACTGCAGGTTTTCTAAAGCCTTCAGAGAGTCTTTGTCAATCAGCAGTACAATGGTTTGACCGTTGCCTTCCACTTGCTTGTGAATGACTTGCCACTATTCCGTTTGGAGCTTGGTTTTGGGTTTTGAGAAACGCAAGTAATTTTGTAGTTTCCATGTTCTGCATGAGTTTGGGTATCCAGGCCACAACTTTGTTGGTTCGGACGAACTCACTAGAGGGTCCCACCAAGCAAGCATCAAACATGCAACGTGCCGCATGAAGTAAATATCGTATGTTGTTAAACATCGTAAACACAGATGGAAAAATTTAAGCACTTGCAGTATTCATATTCAATATGTCGTCAAGCGAGGAGGATGTGGTTGTAGCTTGGCAATTTTTGCGAAATCGACGTAAACGTAAAAGAATGCGTCGATACTGGATTCATCTATTATATTTGCCTGAGTCTTTTACTGCATTAGCAACATGCTTTTTCAGTTAAATTGCGTTTACTTTATTCGCTTAAACTGTAATTCCAAATGCAAGGATGCTTTTCAATGAATTTTACAAAATTATTATTATTCACTGTTGGGTTCTAATTAACAGTGCTGTTCCTAAAGTGGCGCTGGGAAACAGTAACAACGCCTACACAGAACACGAGGCTAATGGCCGTAGTAGTCGACGCCGATGACACCAATTAAAAAAAAAAAAAAAGTTGGGTTGTCAGCCATTTTAACAAACAACAGAGAAGATATTTTGTTGTGCTCTCTCCCATGGTTGGAGCTGGGGGGATTATTTCGTAGAGCCAGGTTTTAGCGGTGTCATTGGCACAGATCAAGAAAAGAGCTCCCATCAGTTTCTCCTTAGCCTGATTCTCTTGCTCCTCAGTCAATTTTTCCTTGGGAATTTCTTTAGGCACTACCGCCATTTTCATTGGCGTTAGTGACTCTTTATAGGACAAGCCACCTTGTACCGCTTGCGCTGCAGATATGGTTGCCCTTGCTCTGTCAGGCCGTTTTAGGCTTCTTGGGGTGACCTCTTACCGTGGCCTCCGTTGAAGACCGACTGTCACTTTGGAGGCGGCCTCTTTTGAGTTAGGAGTTTGATTTGGAGTTAAGTTGGCTCCTTTCTTCTTCGTCCTTCTCTTGGTCTGATTGGCTTTCCTTCAGCCTCAGCATTTTGAATTGTCAATTTCTTCTTTTCGGCGCCTGAGAGTCGCTCAGGCGGCTCCAGGTGAGTCCTGTTGAGTTTTGAGGCAACTCGTTTCAGGCTAGTTTTTTCCTTGGGGTTTGTGGAACTGCCACTTGCCTCCGAAGGTTGTTCCGTCTTAGGGAGTTGTGCAGAAGTTGTTTAGGAAGAAGTTAATTCTTCTGAAATCGCTTCGGTTTCCAATATTGTAGACCTTAAAAACAACTGTAATTTTAGGATATTTGGATTTAATTGCGTTAGCTGTGTGGAAAGAACAAAAAACTCAACAAGAAATTAACTAGTGTTGTTTTTTTATTGTTCCTTCTTGGTTTCAATTTAAAAATAAAAAGTGGTTTTGACACTGATCATTGAAGGGGTGACAAAAGGCAGGTTTTCAACCAACAAGTAAGAACTGTAGATACCAATGCCAAAACGAATTAAAAAAAAAAAAGAATTTCTGTCTCGAACATCCGCTAGCTGAAAATAATTTTAAATGTTGTTTTTTCATTTATAAAATCTCTGTAAAAAAAACAATCATGTTTACCTTTGTGCTAGAAATGAAGCAGTCATATTTATTATAAATTAGTAAATTACTAAAAATTACGAAAGCATTATAATATTTAATGATACCACCATTACCATGGTAAACATTGATAAATATAAAATTTTAGTTTTCAGAAAAAATACTTCAACAAACTCAACATCTACAACCGTAGATTCTGGCTTTTCCGATTCAAGTTTCTCCAGCAATGCTTCGTTCCAACCATCTTACGGAAGCTTCACAAGAAGTAACGTAATAAAATGAATAATAACAAAATATTAAAAATATTTATTTTTTTTTGTTTATTATAGGTGCAAAACTGGGATCCTCTAAATCGAGTTTAAATTTTTATAATTCGTTTGTGAGCGATGTGGATTCTTCAGGGTGTCTATCACAAAATTTAAATTACTCAAGATTAGGATTAGCTTTGATTGTACCTGTAACTAAAACGAAAGAGTAAGTTGGTTAATTGAATACAGGGTGTTTCTAAAAGTATTGCGTTTCTTGGGCATACGATTCTAGTTTGGTATGATTGATTGAAGTTAAAGAACTCTACACTTTTCTTCTGGCAAATGGCTTTCGGTCGAATCTGCTAAATTTAATATGTTGTATGTTTTGATTCGTAATAAAAAATGTTCAGTGGTACAAGGTACTTGCAAATTCTCATTACTTTCAAGTTTATTTAAAGACGTTAACGTTTTAATTTTGCTGTCATTAATAAATATTAAAGGTTACGATTTCACTCTCAATATATTTGTGACTACCAAAATACATTAGGTAGGTACTAACCTTTTAGGAAAACAACTACACAGGCTTTAAAAAAGCATGCATATCATACTATGTCCCAAAAGACTTCAATATTACTTACATCAACAAAGATTATAATACTTCGGACATCCGATACAGTAAGAATAAAAAGTTTATTGTAATAAATACAAAAATTGCCATTTTTTTCGTAACTTCCGGTTGAATACTGGTATTTGTCAATCTAAACGATGTCAAAAAGACAGCTGGGGCTGAGATTAGATGAAAATGAGTATTTAATGTCGAGAATCGGAATCTGATTGACTTCCAATTTGCAAATTCGAATATCAATACGTATGTGCCCTGGTAGCTCAATTGGAAAATTATGGACGGCTCAAGTGCGATCCAGTAAACCACAAATAGTCGGCATTCGCTTTAGAAGTAGAAACCGCATATGGTCCATATTTGGCGTTCTAGACATGAGAAGCATCCTTATGGGTCGAACGCGGTCAATATTTGGCTAGCCGGACATGGAAGGCATCCTTACGGGCCGAATTATATATAGATATATGAACGCGGCTACAATTTAGTGGGCGGCGGACATGCCCTACCTATATGCCGAAGCCGTATATCGGGCCAAGTCCGGCATCCGGCAAGCCTCCTTCGGCCCAGTTACGGTGCCGATAAACTGTGTTTATTTGGGAGGTTCTGGGATCGACTTCCGGCCGATGCACTCATTTTTTCAATTTTTGATTGTCCCTTAAATGGACCGTCAAAATTCATTATTTTTTATTTTGACCGGGGTCTAACTTTAATGGAATGTCATGTGTTGGAACATAGCAGGTATAACCCTAATGACACCGATCTGCCAGAAACATCCCATTTAGGTTCCATGTATGTTTCTATGTTTCTGACATAAATGATACGTCCCTACGATGTCTCTAAAGAAACGTTTCTGGAATGATTTCTCATGAACGTTTTAGAAACATCGTAATTATGTTTTATGTATTCTATTTTCGTTTTAATTATTTTCAAATATCAATAAATTCTAAAATTACTGCAATCACCAGAAATGCACAATCATATCAAACTCCAATATTAAATTTGAACATTTTAAACAATATTTTTATTTCCAAAGACAACTGATGCAGGTCCAATTTTTCTTGATTAGTTCCTTCAAAAAGAGTGAAAAGCAAATACGACAGAGAAGAATATACCCTTCCTTCTGGCTCAGCAGGAGAGGTCGGTTAATTCTCCGCGAGCTAAAAAAATACACTATTGAAGAAAGTCCTCGTGTTGAAATCTATTTTTTTGCGTTGAAAGTGTAGCACTGAGCTACTTACAGTACTTATGAAAATATCGTTTCATTTATACAAATTATATGGATGGAACGATATTTTCGATGAAAAGAAATAAACCTCATATTTGATATGCTCGCGGAGTATTAACCGAACACGTCTACCGTCAAATGACAATATTGACATATGACAGACAGTTCATAAGTGTTGACAGTTGAAAATAAAAAGGTGCTTCGCCTCGCTTTTAATAAAGTTTGGAAAAGTTTAAAAATAATAAACAACTTCTCTATAAACTTTTAAATAAACTAAAAGGTAAAGTTGTAGGAAAGGTATGTACCCAGCTAGCACAAAAACATCCCATCTACGTTAATAAGCTGCAATTTTAGGCTCTTTAAGCTCGCATGCAATGTACTGTAAATGTAACCCTATTATCCCTGCAACTACCGAATGTCCGCAACTGCAAGACTTTTATAGCACATCTCGTAGAAGTTATAAAGTGAAGTTCGGAAAACATCACACTAGCACTTTTACGGTACTTACCCCGAAAGTTGCTCTGAAACGTTCTATTGATGTTATAATGTGAATTAGATCTACAGCATTATACAGTGTGTCCACGGATGGGCTTAACTATACTTGTGAAAATATTTATTTTAAATTAAAAAAGTAATTCTTTATAATTTCTTGCTTGTTAAATAAATTCGATTCACATTGAGAAATTATGAAAAATAACTTTTTCTTTAATTTAAAATAAATATTTTTACAAGTATAATTAAGTCCATCCATGGACACACATTGTGTAATGTAATACAGAGAGGCTGAAATTGAGGCTATAGTAAAATCTCAATCGAGACATGAAAATTTCAAATAAAACAAAATATTTATATAAATTTATTATTAAAATGTTCTTGAAATCAAGTACCAATAGCACAAAAGTAGAGGTAGGTGTAGGCGTGTTCTTTTATTCAGTGCTGTATCCAGCGCTTGCAGCAAACCGTTCGTAAATTAAGTGATGGAAAGACGATTGTATGTGTCAATCATTCTTTTTTCCAGCGGTGAGTTCACCAATGAGCCAAGGCATCCATCGGCTTTAAAAGCCGATGGATATGTGATAGACGAATGGTGAGGATAATCAATCATTTAAGTTAACCTAAAATATAAAACGACTGCAGAATAGATAAATTACATCAATCACTGATAGAACAATTATTGAATAAAAGAACACACCTTATATCACAAACACAAGTACACATGTGGGATAGAAGAAGCTACCTAGAAAGCACTGAACGATTGGACAAAATTAGCTAAATAGTATAATAAGGTACCAATATTGCAAAGGTTCACTAAAACCTTAAATGGTGAACGATGATAAAGCTAGATTGGTGAAAAATAATAAACGAATACAACAATGACTAGGTACATATTATTATATTAGATTACTAGAGGATAGCTAAGTTCGCTGATTTCTTACCTAAGACGCAGAGATATATCTTTTTTAAATCAAGCCTTTTAACTTTTTTTGCATAGATATTTATAAAGTGCTATAATGTAACCTAAATATGACAATTTATTAGAAGAGAATAAATTATATTTTTATATAAAAAGATTTTACTTCTCAATACATTGAATAAAAAAGAAATTGATAACTTGTTTACCTATTATTAATTAAAGGAAATTATATAGAAATTAAAAAATATGCCTTACTTTGTTGTTTTAAATAAAACAACCAATGTTAGTGTATTGAAATTTGTTTGAATTTTACAAATTTTATGCTTGATTTCCAAAGTAGATATATCGATGGCTCAATCAAAAAACGCCACAAGTCAAAAAACAAAGCAATTACATTTTTGGTTCAATGGATGCAAAATATCATTACGGTTTTACTTTAAATACCACCACAAACAAAAATATCCTTAAAGATAAATCATTTAAAATGTAGCCACAAACTGTGTCTAAAACTGCCTCAATTCGAGTTATTTTCTTCAAAAACACCCAAATTTTTTACAATTATGCAACAACTCACTTTTATAATCGTAATCATTTTATTTAACAGCAAAATATCGAAGCTTTTAAATAAAATATAAAGAGTATGTCAAAAACAAAATAATGATAATAGAGACTTACAAAATTTCAAAATGAAATTTCTCGAAATAATAGTATTTTAGTTGTGGCAGTATTTGATTGAGCCATCGATATGTAGATTTTATAAAAAACAACTGGTGTTTTTTAGGAAGGTATTCTATTATACTCGAGAGTATCATCTATGATTTCTGTCAACTTTTCTGCTGGGTTTTCACTTGAACTGATGGTTGCATTTCCAGGCAATCTAGCCTGTTGAAGAGAATGAACTGCTTGAATTCTGATATACCTGACATATCATGTACCTATAGATTCACTTTTTATAAAACTTCAGGTGTTATATTCTTCTTTACACTTCTGTAGTATTTACTTTTGCTTCTAAAATTCCTAGAATGTCGAAGGAAACCTAAAAAATAATATTTTTAAAATGTATTTTTAGTTCGATAAAGTATAATTACCTTTTAAGTATTTGGTGTAAAATGTTGCCGGACATTCGGTTAAATGTTTATCTTCTGGTTTACAACGATTGATCTGCAATTCTTTGTATTTATTGTAGTTTTTTTTTATTTGGTGTCATCGGCATCGACTGCTAAAGATACTTAATGAATGAAATAATAAATTTACATCAGGCATTGTAATCTGAAACAAAGACAATGGTTTAGAAAATATTTATCTATTTTATAGAGGACCCTTACCAAATCTATTCGAATGTATAAATAATAATTATTTATAAAATAAATTCTGGATGTCGAAAAATAAAACATTAAAAAAGACAATTGACAAGAAAAACTGACAAGTGACAATTGACATAAAACTAAACGTTCTGAATTCAGATTTGTAATGTTTACGGTAGGTTAACTAGGTAAATAACAAATAGAAGTTTTGCGAGGTTTTGATTTCCCTCAACAACTTCTCATGAACGTTGCATTTACGTTGTACAGTAATGTTATTACGTACCCTTAATGCAACATCGCCGAAAGGCTTGGCAACGTTATGTGCTAGCTGGGTACTTAACGCGCATTCTGGCCGCGCATATGTAAACATCGTTATATTTATCGCGTAGTTGTTTATATGCATTTATTTGTTATTTTACTTAGATATTATTTATTAATAATATAAAAGTAGCAATCATAACGTTGTACAGTTATACTTTCGCAAAACCATAAATAAATTAATTATCTATTCGTAAAACCAATTATTTTATATGCGCGGCCAGGATGCGCGTCAGTACATACCTTTCCTGCAACTTTACCGAAGATGCATAGTTCCCCCTCAAGGAAAGAGTTTTGTAAGTTGTTTTCATTCACTGAAAAAAAGGAAGACGCCAAGTTAAAAATAGCTGAAGCCATTATGGGTAATTATTTCAACCTAATATCAATTGTTTATATTATCACTTAATTGAAACATTTTCAGATTCGGTAAATTGGTAAACAAAAAAGAAATATAAATTAAAATAGATGACTGGTTGTGGAGGGCTCCGTAAAGAAATAGACGCAATGAATCAGAGCGTAATAATTAACATTTTTTATCTTTCGTGTCAAAAAAAAAATTTTTTTCCAAATAAATTTATGAAAAAAAGTAATTGATTTGATTATCTTACTAAAAAGCGTTTAGGTCATTTCTAGAACATTCCAGCAATAGTATAAAAAACTTACCTAAGATGTTTGAGCAACATCGCAGGATGTTTCACAAACGTCTGTAATACGTTACAAATGATGACATGGTCATTGCCAGAAACATCCCACGTACGCTTGGGGGAGAATAAGAAACATGCCAGAGACGTTTCTAATGTCCCAAGGGTATGTTTCTGGAACGTTCGTGTAACAATACTGTGCTATTAGGGAAATGAGAAACCAGTGGTTTTGCCTAAAATAAAGGCGTTTGAGGGAAAACTCAAAATTTAATAGATAAAATTTGAAAGAACAAGAGGTATTTGAAAAGATTATTTTTTAAATCAGTTTGCATGAAAAAGAATTGTTATGAATATAAGAATTTAGATGTAAGATTTATTTTTAATACCTAGTAATATATAATTATATAATTTTTTATTAGATGATGAAAACTTATATTTGAATTAGACTTTTGGGTTGGGTTCACTCACTTATATTTCTCACTATCAATAATTTAGATAATCAAAGAGAAAAATAAAAAAAAATAAACTCACTTTTGAAATTTCTATGAAATTTTCAATTACAAATAATAATTTACCTATCCTCTCTATATTTGGTCAGATCACAAGTATTCTAATTTTGATTCTAAAAAATATAGTAACAAAAATATTAATTTAGAATAATAATTATTTTCTTATCTGCTTCTTCTTCTTCTTCTTCTTCTTCTTCTTCTTCTTCTTCTTCTTTTTCTTCTTCTTCTTCTTCTTCTTCTTCTTCTGCTGCTGCTGCTGCTGCTGCTTTTGTCGTGTTAATGCTTTTGTCGTGTTACAGCGTTTGTCCTTCTGCTGTGTTCGTCCTGCTACTGCTGTTTCTTTTGTCCTACCGCCGCTTTTCCGCCTTTCCCTGTCTTTGTCTGTCTCCGTGTCTCTACCTGTATGTTATAATATCTCTACCTGTATGATTTCCTTTAAGTGCCTCTGCTTATCTGCTACCTTTATTGATACCTGCTTTCTTCTTTATATTTTTAAATAAAAATTTGTTTACCTTTTATTTTTTATATTTTTCTTTATTATAATCTTACAATAATTAACAATCCTTCATTATTCCAATATATTATTCTTAATTAATTCAATATTTCATATTTTGCTCATCTGACTTTTATCATTTCCCCCCTGACAATCAATCATTAATTTTTTTAACCCAAAATCCTTCAAAATTGACTTTTCCCTGAAACATTGATTTTATTTTATATTTTCAAAACCAAACATAAAGTGATTAATTTTAGTTAACCAAATTACGTCAAAAATATACATATTTGGAAGTGTTTTTAAATATATAAATATTTTTTTATAGTATTATAATTTCCATTATAGCCAAAACATACTAAATACGGCAACATTGCGTTCTGTAACAAACCAGGAGGAACGGCCATATCACGCATGTGTAAGTTACTTGCCTTTCACGAGTTTGTTTGACGTTTAATTTGCCTAATTTTAGGTTTTCATTGTAATTTCAGTGTCTTAAACCATAAAATGAAATGATTTGTTTAATTTAGCTAACTTAGAACTGTTAAGGTATTCAAAAATTGAGTGTGAGTGAGTTAACCTTGTATGTATAGGAATCGTGCGTGAAATATAGAGGCAGCACTACTGCCGAAGTTAGCCCTCTCTAGTGTTTAATTTTAGAATGGGGTAAACAAGTAAATAAAAAGCATATTTTTAAAAATATTAAATATAGTTAAATATAGATACCGACCCGTAACAAGAAATCGTGTACATAGTCAAAATGGTATAAAATTTAAAAAATTATTAAAATCTGGACATGTATATACATTTTGAGCAAAAAGATTATTGACAATAAATTGTAAAGCTGTACCTTAAGCAACAGATCTAGGTGACTTTGGTGTCAGAAATAACACTATAAGTACGAAACATAAGTTTAAAATAATACTGTCAAATTTGTTGTCTTGCCACTACGACGAGTCTCACGACCTTAATTATTCTGTAAAATTATCCCTTTGTTTATCGACTAATTAAAAATATCTCGTACAATGTTCTGTTATGATTTTTTCTTCTTTATAATTTTCAGAGATGAGATTTATATGCAACATTTTACTACCATAGAATCGATATTATGGCGAATTCGCCATTATGTAGAATTAGCACTTGGCTCTCCAAAACTGTTCTTCGCCACAATGTTCGAAATATCTTCAATATCGGCGAAATGGCTATCCAAGGAACTCAATTTTTGGACCAAAATGAACGCCGTACATCCAAGAGAAGAATCTGGAGGAATTTTCAAAATTTTTAGTATGTTGAACTTAAGAAAAAGTATATTTTTTCGACAGAAAGTCAAAGATGAACGTTTTGAGAAATTTTGTAAAACACTTAGCGAATTTGATGTTAAAGAAACAAAATTGTAAGTAAAAAAAACTGTATAATATTTTACTCATATTTCATGTCACGATCATTCCTAAAATATATTTTTTACACTATACAGGGTGTTCGTCCGCAATAAGTAGAAACAAAATAAGTTGGCAACTAGTTATAGTCTATTTTTATGTATGAGAGAGTATTAAAATAATAAAGCGTTCGTAATCCATATGCATACCACTTCTTTTAGTAGACAGTTAAAATATTTTTTAAAGTTATTCCTCGAGTATACACTTATATTTTCACCTAATTAACCTGCTTATAACTTCTAAACAGCTGAAGGTAAAAAAGTGCAATTTTTTCTAAAATGTTTTATTTTTCCACAAGGTATGTTAAGAACAATGTGTCAAACGGGTTATGTAGGCATAAGGGTTTAAACTTTGACTTTTAAACAACGTTACGTTCATAAATAATAATTTTAATATAAAAACTACTTCTTACCTACAAATCCAAATCAGAATCGAAATCAGAAGATGAACTAGCGCAACCAATATTTACAATGAGTGGCTCGATCATTTCGTATGATTTACTGCCTTTTCCCAGTTTTCAGGCTTCACATTATTTACAGCATCCAAAAACAACTGTTTAACATCACTCATTTTAAAAGAATTATTTTTTCTTGAAACTTCTCCCTTTATCTGTGCCCATATCAGTTCAATCGGGTTTACTTCGCAATGATATGGTGGTGATCTAACCACCGTCATCCCACGATTTTTTGCAATTTCATCAATTTCATATTAATTGAATTTCTCTTTATGAAGGGAACACAAATGATACAGTTTTTTTCTCACAGAACCGGGATGGAACTTAATATTCTTTGAATTTAGCCAATTCTGTAAATATTTTTTTAACCACTTGATTGAGGGCATTTTTTCTATAAGTCTCGAGTGATAACTTGCATTATCCATTACTATTATACAGTTCTGAGGAAGAAGATCTATAATTTGTTTGAACCACTCTTTAAAGACATCAGCATTCATGTCCTCATGGTAGTCACCGGTACGAGTAGATTCAAAAGTCAATAAACCACCTTTAACAAAACCGTTTGAACTACCGATGTGTACTATTATTAGTCTGCGCCCCTTTCCTAATGGTGGATTTAAACCAGTAGATAAAATATTTAAAAAAGCCTGTATTCGACTTGTAACAGTTTCATCTTGCCAAAATTTATTTGGTTTATGTCCCTCGTTGATCCATGTTTCATCTAAATAAAATATATTTCTTCTTTGGTTTCTCATTTCTTTTATAGTCCTTAGGTAATTTCTTCTCTATTAAAATAGACTTTCTGGAATGCTTTTTCCATAGAAAACCTATTTCTTTTAAAGGTTTCCATAGTGTGCTTCGACTCATTTCAGGGTAATCCTTATCATCTCGAACCGTGGCAAGAACTTTGTCTACTGTCGGAAATTCTTTTCTAAAGAAGAACGCATGCACTTTCCTTCGAAGTCTTTCTTTCAAAAGATTTTCTAATTGAAGTTTTGGTTTTTCTGGAGCTTTACGTGCAGTTTGAAACTCGCCACATGTCTCTTCTTTAACAACTCTGTAAATCGTAGATTTCCCAACACCAAGCGTACTACTAACTAATTCCACTGTCTCATCAACACTTTTACATAAATGTTTGTCTGTAAATGATTTAAAACAATTAAATATTAATGTTTTTTCATTAACTGTTAAAGAACCGATTTTTTGTCGTTTACGCGGCCTTCCAAATTTTCCATGATCACACTAGAATTCACACTGCACCTTGCAAGTTGCAACTAAACAACATTTAGTAAACTGTCAAGAATACACAACTTGGACCTCCTTACTAAATGGAAAACCTATGATCGCATTTTCGGTGAAATTTGTTGGGAAGGTATTTATCTACTTATAATTCGATTACTGTAAGAAATTCTTGGAATTAAAATAAATAAAATTGGCAAATAGGTACTTATTGAAAATAATCATAAGATACGGCTATGTAATCTTTAATACACAGGGCTTTTGGCCTGTCCAAACCTTTTTCTATTGTTCTATACAGCTTATGTTTATAAAGGAACAATAAAAGACCTAAAATTTGTAATAGCTCAGGTACATTTATTACAATTTTAGGAAATATTTAGATTATTCTGTAAAAATATTTAAAATGACCGTACTAAGTTTTGCATTAGAAATACTGTTTTATTACTCTCTCATACATAAAAATAGACATAGTAGTAGTACATTGCCTTATTTTTAAAATAAATTTAAAGATCTATTAATTATTAAGTAACACTATAAAACTTTAAAGTCATAAAACGTTGTAAAGACAACAGAAGGTCTGTATAACTATTTTATATTTCTAGCAGACTAAAGCTGATGTAATATAAAATACCATTTTTATAGAGGGAGTAGCAATTTATTTTATTTAGCTATTTAGCATAATAATTATTTACTTTGAAAAATAACAATATCAATTAAAAAACAATTTATCAACTTAAGAAATAAAACAAATATTTTGTTTAAATTAAAAATATAGCTTTTTCAAGTCACACTTTAAATTTCTTCTTAGATTTTAATTATTCAATTTGGCTCTAAATTGAGACGTGTCAATTTTTTGACAAAAAAATATAATATTTTGTCAGCAAAATGGAATCCGCATTAAATTTTTCTTTCTTCCCTCTTTGATTTTTTATTTTATTTTACTAAATATTCTTCATCATTTTTAATGAGTTTGGTACTCCATTATTAAATTTGTTATTTTAAATTATGATCGTTTAATTATTTCAATTATAAAGAACGTATGCGATAATTTTATTCTAATATTATTATTCACTAAAAAACAAAATGATGTTTAATGTTTTCTTTCTACTTTTTAATACTTATATAAAATATTTTTAAGCACGACCGGGCGATAAAGTCCAGAATATAAGTACGTTTAGCGGGCGTAAACTGCCCCTTTATCGGCCGCGAACTACGTTACCGCCCGCCTGGCAGTAAAGTAAATTTCTTTTATAATAACCTGCTCACAAAAGGCGAAAAAGAGAAAAGGATGCTTTGGTAATACTGTATTCAACCCCAAAAAGTTTTTAAATAATATTACACTATTGCCAAGAAATTAATTTGTTCTTGAAATTACAGAATGATGCTGACCCCAAATTAAATTTTATCATAATTCAGGTAGGTTAACATTGATTTCAAAATTGTTTAATACACAGACTTAGGTACAAGACACTGAGCTAACGAAGAATGGTGATAGAACTGGTTTATTTTATACAGAATGTTTTGAAACATGTCTTAAGTATGGCTAATTTTAAGTTCAATTTATTTAAATGCAACACCCTGCATATTATTTTACCATAAAATTCCTTATAAATTTACCTATACAACGATACCAATATGTTAGCCATTAACACATATACAGGGTGTCCCATCAGTGCGTAATTGATCGATAGCTGTTCTTTTTTTAGAAATACGAAGAAATTTTTATTATAAAAATTGTATGACCATATTTAACAATTATTCCTAAATATACAGGGTGGTCTATAAATGAGGTACTGGCCAAATCTACACTTTTTTAAAGCAAAATAACCTGCAGGTAATACATATTTGATTGTTTTCACATCGACAAACAATTTAAATTTATTTATTGACTTCATTCATTTGCTATGTTGTATACAGGATGTGTCAAAACGTGAGGTTACGATTTTCTCAATTTTCTAATTGAAATACCTTGTATTAAATAATTGGTAGTATAACATATAGGGTATTCCATTTAAAAAATTGAGAAAATCGTTATTCTGCATTTTGACATACCCTATATATGTGATAGCAAATAAATCTATAAAGTCTATTAAAATTGTTTGACGATGTGAAAACAATCAAATAATCAAATATGTATGTGTTTTGCTTTAAAAATGTATAAGTTTGGTCAGCCCCTTGTTTATGGACCACTAGAATATCTATTAAACATGGTCATACAACTTTTATATTATTTTTTTTTTCGTATTCCCAATAATAAAACAGCTATCGATCAATTACGCATTGATATGACACCCTGTATATGTGTTATTGACTAACATATTGATATCGTTGGATAGGTAAATTTATAACGAATTTTATACTAAAATAATATATAGGGTGTTGAATTTGAAAAAAATTTATCCATATTTAAGACATGTTTCACAACACTCTGAATAAAATAAATCATTTCTATAACAACTATTTGTTAGCTTAGTAGCTTATAAGTCTGCACATTAAATAATTTTAAAATCAATTTAAGCCTACCTAAATTATAATAATTTAATTTGCATTCTGCATTATTCTCTAATGTCAAAAAAAATAATTGCTTGGCAACGTTGTAATATTTTTAAAAATTTTTTAGTGTTGAATATAGTATTACCAAACCATTCTTAAAATAAAATGTATTATACGGTATTCCATTTAAAAAACATAAATGTATATTTTCCAGGCAAAAACGCAACACCCGGTATATCCAAAAATATTTTTAAAAAATGTATCTTTCAAATCCATATAACTTTTATATAAAACTTTTTTACGTGTCTATAACACAAATTTAAATATTGAATTAATGAGACACTCTGTATATTTATTAATAAATTATCATTAAAAGGGTCTTGCATAAAATTTTGTATGTATTTTGGGCGTAAACACCGTTTATGGACTTAATCACCACTTAAAAATAGTTTTATTATAGAATAAATGTTGTATAAAATGGGGCCCTTTTTACTGTATTATATGGGAGTTTTTAAACGAATTATAGGATTTACAATTTTCTATGGTGTGTTAAGAGTTCCAACACCCTTTGGTAGTAGTGGTCAACAGTATTCATTTGAAGATCTCTTAGGATAAATATTTGTTTTTATATCTTTTGTAATTTATTTTGAAGAGGTTGGTCTGATGATTGAATTATCTTTGTCTGGAAGATCCCAGTTCAGTAATTATTCTCCTTAAATTAGTTGGAAGGTATTTTGTGGGTGCTCTACGAACCTGTTATGTTATTTCTAC